CTGCAAGCTAAATTATAAATACAAAAGTACAAAATACATATCAATTATAAATTTTTATTATATAAATCCATATTTCATTAAATTAGATATAAAACCTCAAGATTATGTGTCGGAATACCACCATTTGGCCGATGAATAACGCGCAAAACTCCAAGTGAAATGGCAATTGCTGATGGTTGACCTCCTACTGTTGCCTCGTTTCGAAAAGAATCTATTAGATTCCTTGCCCAAATACGATACCTAACCCAATTTTCGTGACAATCATTAAGGACTTGGATAGATAAATATGTACATATATATGCATATATATATAGTCATAAAAAATAACATAAAAATCAATTATTTGGATACATTTCTTCCAAATATTGTCTAGCGCCATTCACAAAAGCCATTGATAATTTTTTATGTGCGAGATCTTGAGGTGGTGCTTCATATGCTTGAGAAAAATGATGTTGACTTAAAGAGTTTCGTGTGAATCTTCCTTCAATGACATTATGTTCCCCAACAATAAATAAAAGTGCTCGCCAACAATCAAAAAAATTTTTATTCTAATATGCATAAATATAAAATGAAGGTTTCTTAAATAATCAAATCAAATTAAGAATATACTTATGTATGTGTGATAAAGATTACATACTTGATCAGCTGAAATTTTTTTTGCCGCTTCGAGAAATTCATTAATTAAACCATATTTATAATTCGACAGCCTTAAGTTATTTAATTTAACAACGACATCAAAACAAACCATGTGGCGTTGATTTAAATTTATTGCTGATTTGGTTTTTAATATAGCTTGACGATCTGTTACAGGAGTATAAGGCTGTTTCTATGTTTTATTTATTTATTTATTTATTTTTTAAAAAAGATTACATGTGAAAACAAGATAGTTTAAAAAAATCATTTATGTATAAATTATAAAGAGTCGACTACTCACTATTTGATTTGAAATTGACATATTACTAATACCATAATCTAAATTGAAAGTATTTGATTTCGGTGAATTGAATTGCCCGAGTTCTTCGAAAACTTTTCTTTTTGTTTTGTCCCACTCTTTAATAAGATTTTGGTCATAAAGTGTATTATAATCATCTATTGCCTAAATTTTATCAATAAAATATTTTTAATTCTTTGGAAAAATGGCTACCATTATATAAATGTAATATCGAATCTTTTTTTTTAAAAAAAGGGAATAAGAAAATACTTGTGTATATCCATCTTTTATTAATGTAGTTATGGCTTGTTGATTTTTAAGATCAAGGAATTTCTTTAATAGTGATAATTTTATCATTATGACAATATTAATGATATTTAATCGATAGTTAAAAATAGATTAAATTAAATCAATAAACCCACTTCAATATCAGTATCAGATAAAATAACTCGCGGTTCAAAAGCATCAAATACATTGATGCTTTTTATCTCTTGTGATAATTTATCGCCATCAATTCCAATGCTAGCCAAAAAATAAGGACTAAATGGATGTGAGTAATATTGCTTGATAAAAGAAACAATTAAATTATAAAGAAAATGAAATATATATATATGTATTACGCTTTTCTTTCTGCAATTTCTCCAGGTCTTACAACTTTGTCAGCAAGTTTACGTGATTGTTTTTCAATTTGTTCTAAATTCCTTTCTATCGGTGGAAGATCTTGTTTAACAATGGAGTTTACAGTTTTTCGGGATCTTTCTGCAAGTTGTTTTAAATGTAGATTTGTTGACATCCTTCAAAAATATATATATACATCAGTCGGACGAGACAAGAATTCACAGATTTTTTACTATATTAATATGATCTACATGGGCACGTTTTCTGTACAACAAAGAATTGTAAATAAAAAATTTAAACATTAATATTATTAAAAAAATTCCGTTATATATATTAATATTAATATTTTTTTAAATAAAATTTTACTTTTGTTAAATTTTAAAATTAATATGGAAAATTTATCTTTGAACTCAAATTTAAGACCAGTATATAATTTCATAGAATTAGGCTTAGAAGATTATGAAGAAAATGAATTAGTTCTTGATACCATACATGATTTAATGACATTTTTTCAAGAAAATAATTGTCATTGTAAAACTACAAAAAATGATTTAAGAACCTGTTATGAAAAAATAGGATTTAAGCAGTTTTTTGAAAGACATCTTCAACTACATGCATTAGGAAAAGATGCACTTGAATCATTCATAAAAGCTCAATTGATGTCTTTTGAAACAACTAGTATTCAATCAGAAGCTAGACATAATTATAAATATAATTTTATGCATCATTTACCCTTATGTTACTCTGCATATATAAAATTATGTGGAATCATTGAATATGTACTTAAAACCTTGCAAGTTGATTTACAAATTAATGGATTATCAGAACAACTTCATAAAAATACTGGATATATACCTAAAATATTCATAATAATAATATAACATTAATCACCATATATCTGATATATTTATACTCAAATAATAACAATAATACTGCTTACCTCATTGAAATAATGAATGTGTCAAAAAACCCATAAATTTTACAAGCCTTACCAGCCCAAGGAATACCAATTACCAGCGTACCAATAGCATTAGCAGAATACGATACAGCGGATAATGCGTTATTAATTGCTATGTACATTGGTAGACGTACCCCCATTGATAAATTTGAATTAAGTTTAACCCTTTGTAATGTTTGGTAAATGACGAAAAAGCTCGAAATTAAATTTATCTGAAGAAAAAATAATTTCGAGCGGAAAAATTAGATTGATTAATTAATTAATTTTTAAAGTTTAATTAATTGAGTTTATTTAAGGTTAATTTTAACTTACTTGCGTCATAATTAGTGCTATTATTATTATACAGTATAAATAAATAAATAATCGTTAATTTTTAATCGAAACTTTTTAATTTTTAAAAATAAAAAACCCACTTACAAAAATAAAGCAATAAATGACCTTGGTAATCATTTGGATTTACATTTGGATAATATTTTTTATATTCAATTAAAGCATCTTCATTTGAAATAAAAGAAGAAAAATCATGGGAAAAATTAATTAAAGAGAGAAAATTTTTCATCAAAATTAATTAACGGATAATAATAATAATAATAACGATAGATAAATGATTAATTTTATTTTCAAGAGTGAACGAACATTCATCAAAATGAAAAATAAAAAGGAACGCGCTTATGTAAAACATCTCATCAATCAAATATTTTATTATAAATCTTATTTACAATCGATAAAAATATTATTGTTTGATTGTTTTAATTTTTTTTTGCATATATTGCATAAATTAAAAAAGCACAGACCAGATCATTCATCTCCTTTTCATCAATTATTACTTAAACTTTAATAAGAAAGTCAGAAACAACAACAATATTATCAATAATAATAATAATGGTTTGATAAATAGAGTCTAATGATTATTTAAAACACGTTATTTACAAAAAACGGTAACACGCGCATGTAGAAATACCAATTAATTAATTAGTCAGACAGATGTTGTCACACAATAGTCGTTTAAGTTAGTATGATCGAAAATTTCCATATTTTTCTTGAATCCGATAAATTAAATTAGAATTGCATCAATCCTTAAAATTGAATTGGATTGGATCGGATTTGAGTTTGGATCGGATTTTACTATTAGTTATTTGATTGATTACTTTACGGTTCATTCACCAACCTTCTATTTTGTTTATCTGCAATAAATCATGATGATGGAGAGAAACATCCGTGATAGCAAATGTTTTTTGTTACTTTTAAATGCATACATATGTATGTATAATGTATGGCGGGCGGGAAACTACCAAAAAAATTCATACTTTTATGCATTTCGAAGGATTGGGTCTACAACCTTAGCAATAATATAATGGGAACAGAATGGTAGGAAGATATAATGATGCCCTTCCGATATTAAATATTTTCTTTATTATGTACAAGAGGTTTAGTTTTCTTTATGATAAAAAGAGTTCAGAACATCTTTTAGTCTAGTATAATAAAAACGTGCATGTGTGAAAAATTTTTTTTTAGAAACTAATTTACCAATTTTGTAAAAAATATTAAATAGACTAGAATTAGTGAATTAGAGTTGTTAAGATGAGAATGAGAATGTGCAAGTACGTGTGTATAATTGTACGTATAAATTGTATAATTACTTTAATAATAATAATAATAATAATAATAATAATATATTTGTATAAATTATTTTTTTTTTTATATTTAATATAAATAATAATTGAAAAATTTTTTTTTTATTTGTTAATAGTTGTTAGTATAAAGATAAATTAAGTATAATTGTATGTATTAGATAGTTAGTATTTTATTTTACTATATTACACGAGCCCAATCAATCAATTTAATAATATTAAATACTACATATTGTAAAAAAATATTTATATTTTTAAAAAATTATATATTTTGTTTGTTTCATAATTTTTATTATTAAAATATAAAAAAAAGTAAAGAAGAAAAGCAATTAATTAATGTTCAAAAAATACTACTAATTCCAAGAAATAAATTTTAAAGAGCCTAATTTCTTTGTCGTCTTCTTTTACAACTCGTAAAAATTAAAAAAAGATAAAAAATCCACAAAAATAGAAATACTTAAATAATTATTTTATACAGACAAACAGTAGACAGTACAAGAGAGAGAGAGAAACATATATCGATATATTATATTATTTTGTATAAATAATATAATAAAATAGTATGCGAGAGTTATTATTAGTTCGTAAATTAGAAGAAGAAAAGAAGAAAAAAAATCAAGAAAATGAATGTAATAGCGAAATAAATAATAATAATAGTGATAATAATAATAGTGATAGTAATAATGATGGTAATAATAGTAACGATAATGGAGAGGTAGAATCTTTAATTATTCAAAATAATAAAGAATTATCAGATACTAATAATAATAATGATAATAACAATATAGATAACTTAGAATCATCATCATCATCATCATCATCATCATCATCATCATCATCACCGTCATCATCACCGTCATCAATGTCTTCAATAACATCTTCGTCGTCTTCATCATCAATAAATGAACTTTCATCAGAAAATAACTTAGAAAATTCAAATAATAATAATAAAGAAGATGAAATAATAGAGTCTAAAGACAAAAATGAATCTAAAGATACAAGTAATATAGAAAGTATAAATAAATCTAAAGATACAAATAATATAGAAGATAATGAAAATGCAGAAGAAGAGGACGAAGGAAAATTAAAATTACAAACTAAAAGAGAAAGCATTAAAGAGTTCTTTTTACAAAAACAGCCTTATAATATTGGTAATGATGATAGTAATAGTAATGATAGTAATAGTAATGACAATAACGGTAATGGTAGTAATAGTAACGATAATAAAGATGAACCATCATTAATAAATTTAAATAATGAAAGGTAGGTAATAATAAACAAATTAATTGTTTTTTTGATGATGAAAAAATTACTAATAATTAAATTTTATTTATATTATTCAGTGAACTTAATTCAAAAGATGAAATTAATTTAAATGAACAATTAAATAATTCGCCATCTTCACCTTCAAGTTCAAATTCATCAAATTCATCAAATTCACTTTCACCGTCTCCTTCATCTTCAAATTCGTCAATATCACCATCACCAAATGAAGAATTAACACCAGATGAAAAACGTCAAAGAGCTGCTGCTGATCGTTCAAAACAAAGAATGGAACTAAAAAACCTTATGAAACAAAGAAAACTTAAAAATAATAATAATGATGATGATGAGATTATTATTTTAACACCTACCAAGAATCAAAATGATTCACAACAACCAACAATAACTATTAATAGTAAAGATGATAAAAAGTACGAGTTTTTTTAAAAATTAATGATTTTAATCAATCAATCAATCAATCAATCAATCAATCAATCAATAAATTAATTATAATTTTTTTCCTCCATATTAATTAGAAAATATAAAGATGGATTAATATCAGACATTGAATCAGATTGTTCGATAGATTTGGATGAATTGATTGCTCAAACAAGTGATTTAGATGCGGGTGGCGGTGTTAATCTAGGCGATGACGTTGACGATTTATGTGACGATAGTGAAGATTTTTGGAAAATCGATCCATCCGAGGTATAATATTTATTTATTTATTATAATACATATATATACATATCATTATTATTTTCTAAATATATATGCTAATATAAATAATTTTTTAATAGCTTGCTAGACATCTAACACCATCAACTACACCTTTACGTGGCCCATCGCCGAACTTTAATACAGCCAGGCCTGTTAGTATTATAGCTGAGGAAGAAGAAAGTCTAAGTGATACTCCACTTGAAATTGATAATCAAGAAGCCGATGACCTTTGGAAAACTTCAAATAACGAAGATAATATATTTGATGTAAGCGGCTTTAAAATATCTATATTCGCATTTTTAAAACTATTCGTTTATTTATTTTTCATGTTATAATCTCTAGCTGGAGTCAAAAGAAGTGGAGGATGAATTAGATTTATTGTTAGATACACAAATCACACCGATTCTGAGACCATGTCCATCACCATCACCAGCACCAACTCCACGTGCTTCATTAACAGGTGGTAAATCAGGAATCCCAGCTGGAATGTCAAAATCTGCATTTTTTGGTCATTTCGGCATATCTCCATTAACTCCATTATCACCTACATCATCACAAGCCTCATCGACAGCAGATCCGGATGAATTATTTGAAACAATGTCAAATGGATCTACTAGATCAGCAGCAAGCACTAGTTCAAGAGGCACAATAACTGGAAGTGGAACAAGGAAACCATCAAATACTTTGGGAATAAGAGCACCGAGTAGAATCGGTAAGCCTGGATCGAGTGCAAATAAATCAGATGCAGTATCACCATCATCATCATCATCACCATCGCCATCGTTATATTCTACTCGTCCAAGATCATTAAGTGGCATTAGTACCACTAGTAATAGTAGTACCATGACTGATGACAGCACTGTTTCATCAACTACACCTACTACATCAAGAATTGCATCACCTACTAATGCGAGAGGAGGACTAGCAATATATAATAATAAATTTCGTCAAAGATCTATTAGTGGAGGTTGTTCAGCTGACGAAGTACTACCAAGACCATCTTCATCTTTATCTATGAGTAAATCATCATCAACATCATCAAATTTTAGACCATTAAGTAGGGCTGGTACTACAAAGACTTCAATTAACTCGCCAACTGATTCATCGTCAAAAAAAATTCGTGCTAGCATGCAGCCTTCATCACCATCAAGGCCAACATCACCTACACTGTCTAGAACAGCAAATAATAATTCTAGACTTGGACTTAAACGTCCTCCTTCACAAATGACAGGTCTAGCCAGACCAAGTAGTAGGGCAGGAAATATTCCAAGTCCTCGTAACAACAACAACAACAACAATAGCAACAACAATACATCAAACAACACCAGAACGTTAAGTAGGCTTGGTAGACCTAGTTCAATAGCCATTACTAACACAGCATCATCTAAAAGTCACATCACTTCACCTAACAGTAATATTAGAACACCGTCATCTGCTGGATCAAATGCTAAAACAGCTAAAGGAATTGCACGTAAATTTAGTCTTCAAACAGATAGTATTTATGATGAACCTGATAATTATTGTTATAGTCCACCAGATTCTCCTCTTGGTGGATCAGAAACTGATTCTTTGAGATCTTTTACAAGTTCCATATCATACGGATCTTCTGTTGGTAGAGGCACATCACCTTCACCAATAAATAATTATAGTAACAGTAACAATAACAACAATAATAGCAATAATAGTAATATAAAGAGTAAAAATACCACCACCACTACTTCACCCACAAAATCTACTAGTAAAAAATCACCGACAACAGCAAATAGAATGTCAATGGCAACTTCAAGAAATTCAAAACTTCCTGCGCCTGGTAGCACGGTGCCATCTAAAATATCTTCAAATAGAAGAAAATAAATGATTTTTTTTTTAGATATGTATTTTTAATATTAATATTTTTTTTCTCATATTTTCTTTATTATTTTCATATTTACTTTTCATATTTTCAAAAAAAAATTTTTTTTTTTGAATTTATTTGTCATATCACACATTATTTTATTTATTTATTATTTTTTTTTTGTACATATTTTTAGAATGCGTGGTGTGTATGGTTTGGTGTTTACATTTATGTATTTTTTTAAAAAAAAAATTATCCTCAATTTATTATATTTAATAATTGTAATTGTATTGTATCCTTTGAATAAAACAATTTGAGTGTAATGGTGGCGGTGGCGGTGGTGGCAATTTTAAATAGATTTTAAAAAACAAGTGCTTTTATTATTATTACAGAGTAAAATAAAAATCGCTATTTATTACAAACAATTATCATCATTCATTATTTATCAATTTTTTTCCTTGTGTATATAGTTACATCCTCATTCTCATTTTTTTTTCTATTATTAAAATAAAATAATTTTCAAATTAATTTTATATGGGGCTATTGAAATAAATTTTATCATCTTGTCTGGTTTTATTTTATTTCGACTGATTTATGGTTAAATGCGTACTCATAAATCGTTTACGGTTTTTTTATCGTTACAAATTTTGAATGTCAATGTATAATTCAATGCCCGCAATGCTTGGGCTCAAATTTTTTTTTTGCGGTATGAATTTTGTGTAGCAGCATCCAGATTCACATGTTTTGTAAAAAATTTTATACCACTTTGGAGTGTGAACTGTTTTTTTTTCTTTTCTTCTGTGCTGCTGCTTTCTACTATTTCGGCTATTTTTCTTTTCGGCATTTAGAAAATAAAATAAAATAGAATTATATGGCTCAATTTTTGGGGGCTATCTTTAAAAGGCTTCAGGGTCCCATATAAATATGTAATTAAAAAAATAAAACTGTAATTTGATAGATAATAAAGTTATAGAAAAAATTTAAAATTTTTCCCGTGAAGTAAAGGTCCTTTTACATACAGTGCGGATCATCTATACTCAAAAGTTAAATTTTTTGAAATATTATGTGATCCACACATTGGATTTTAAAAAA